TTAACCACAAAAATAATAAAATAAAATAAAAATGTAAAAAACATTATAAACTGCCTTGAGTGTTTCTCTTTTTTGTTCTTCATATATTTGACTTGGTCTGTACATTTTCAAACAATATAATAACAAATATAATAAAAATGATATATAAAAAAAACTATATATGTTCTCTGGTATTAAAATGTATCTTTAAAGATGCGCTGTGGAATGTTCCACAGTATAACATTAAACAGTTTTAATTTAAATGTATTCATGTTCGATGACGTTCACCCTGGACAAACGTACGGCGCTTTAGGGGCGCTGCTCCGCGCTTGGGCTCGGTTCTAAAGTCCTCGTGTGAGTGCACCAATAATGTCTGAGATATTTTAGAACGTTTAACTCGACATGTTTCAGTCGTCTGTGTGCAGCGTTCTCCTTGTGGGCTGCAAGAAACACTCGCACATGTGCATGTTTTACTCATTCATGTGCCAAAATATTTGCTCGTAAATACACTACTGGTCAAAAGTTTTAGAACTCTCTAATTTTTCCAGTTACAGTATTTTTCGGACTATAAGTCACTCCAGAGTATAAGTCGCACCAGCCAAAAATGCATATTGAAAAGCAGTGTTGTGCATGAACGAGTTCAAAAGAACGCGTTCATTGAACACGTTCATATTTCAGTGAACTTTGAACTGAACGCAACACTTTTGTAAATCAAAAACTTGAACGTGAATTTGTTCAAATTATGTGTGTGATGAACGACGTACGTCACTGTTGGGGTTCAGTTAAACGTCGGAATTTGACGAGTGATGATCTGCTCGCACTTAACCTCGCGAAGGCGCCTCCACCGGCAGCTTTAGCAGAACGTACGGGCTCTTGTGTCTCTCAATGGGAAGTTAATCAAACTTGACTGGACGCGTTTAGCTGCTTGTATTTACCTTCTGTACAGGCTGACCACGTCTATGTGGATCTGGGCTCTTTCACATGATACACAACTGCCCAGGGAGCACAATGTGCTGATGGTAAATGCAAAAATACAACAATAGATACATGCTCTTTGTGTATTTTGACGGGGACGCTTGTGTAGAGCGTCAAAAAATAGGATGGATCCTATTTTCTGAAATCTACACGCACAGGACGTGCTGCTCCGCGCGCGCGTATTATTTTACTTGGTACATATGTCAGTAACGCGCGTCACAATGCTTTTTTTAAATGGTGGGTTTTTCGTTTTTCTTCATACAAATTTGCTAAAATCACCGCAATATCAGCAGCGGTGAAACGCCGGAGGTGCGCCCGCGTAGACCGTGATCCTGAGCGAAAGGACCGACGCAGAAGTCCGCGCTCCACCGAACTAAACGCAGCTGACGCCCGATCGCACTCGGGGTTCTCTCAGGGGCAGTCCTAGATTCCAAGTTCTAGTCCAGGATTAGTCCTGGTTTGGTCCTGGTTTAGTCTTGGTTTAGTCCTGGTTTAGTCCTGGTTCAGTTCTGGTTTAGTCCTGGTTCAGTTCTGGTTTAGTCCTGGTTCAGTTCTGGTTTAGTCCTGGTTCAGTCCTGGTTTAGTCCTGGTTCAGTCCTGGTTCAGTCCTGGTTTAGACCTGGTTCAATTCTGGTTCAGTCCTTGTTTAGTCTTGGTTTATTCCTGGTTTAGACCTGGTTCAGTCCTGATTTAGACCTGGTTTAGTCCTGGTTTAGACCTGGTTCAGTTCTGGTTTAGTCTTCGTTCAGTTCTGGTTTAGTCCTGGTTCAGTTCTGGTATAGACCTGGTTTAGTCCTGGTTCAGTTCTGGTTCAGTCCTGGTTTAGACCTGGTTCAGTTCTGGTTTAGTCCTGGTTTAGTCCTGGTTTAGTCCTGGTCCTGGTTTAGTCCTGGTTTAGACCTGGTTTAGACCTGGTTTAGACCTGGTTTAGTCCTGGTTTAGTCTGGTTTAGTCCTGTTTAGTCCTGGTTTAGTCCTGGTTTAGACCTGGTTTAGACCTGGTTTAGACCTGGTTTAGACCTGGTTTAGACCTGGTTTAGTCCTGGTTTAGTCTGGTTCAGTCCTGGTAGACTGTCCATATACGGCGCAAAAGTTCAGCATCTTAACAGTTCTTTTGGTGAGAGTAAATTAAAAGTGCTGCAATAGTCGTGTAATGTTTTACATTTTAAATACAGTAATATTGTAATGTAACAAATGACTTAGAAATGACAGTAACAAGTCATAAATAACACATTACAGTTTTAAAGTCACTTGTCCAACAGTGTATCTTGTAAAGTTGTTGTAAACTAGAAGTCAGTTTGAAAAATAAAAGCAGCCTTTCATTTACAGATCTCATCTAAATATAAAATGAACTGAACTTTGAACTAGTTCGAAATTAAAATTGTGAACTATGAACGTAAACTATTCACTTTGAACAAGTGTGAACTGAACTTTGAACTAGTTCATGAAAAGTGTGAACTTGCACAACACTGTTGAAAAGGACAAAAAAAACATAGTGGGCCCGGTCAAGCAGAAGTAAACAGCAAGGCCAAAAATTCAAGTTAATACATCTGATATAAAAATGTATTCAACAGATACATATGTAGTCTAGTTTATGAAACTATCTTTTTTCTGTACCATTTTTGGTTCTAAAGTGCCTGCAAACTCTGTGCCTGCAAATGGTAAAATGACATAGTATGCCTTTAAATGTTCTTTGTGCCAACTGGTGGTCAACCGTGAAAAATACTCATGTCAGTCATATATGTTTTTGCTTCTAGTCAATAATAGAATTGAATTCCCAAATTTGGTACAAATCTGACAATGTTGACATTTCATGTCTATGGTAGGGGGCGCTATAGTGTTCACATTTCATATGTTTTATAGTGTATTATATTCAGACTGAGATCACACATTAGTGATTCAAATTTCAGCACAATCGGACTAAGCATGTGCGTGTAATATATTTTTTTATATTTTTTGGAGGAGTCTTTGCGTCCCTGCTGGCCAACAGTGAAAAATTCCCCATGTCCATAATAAAAAAAATTTCTCGTAGTCATGCATAGAATTTAATTCTCAAATTTGGTGCAGATCTGACAATGTTGATGTTTCATGTCTATGGTAGGGGGCGCTGTAGTATTCACTTTTCATATGTTTTATAGTGTATTATATTCAGACTGAGATCACACATTAGTGATTCAAATTTCAGCATGATCGGACTAAGTCTGTGTGAACAGGAGCAAATAATGTCACCTTGAAATTAGCCAAAATTTTTACAGAAATTTGTGGCTTCACCGCACATAAACCGTGACAGTTATCATAATAAATCAGCTAACTTTAGATGTTCCACTTCTCTCGATGATGTACGGTGATTTTCAGCCCTGTGGGTGAAGCGCCTTCAGAGGAGTTCCTTCAAACGCAATGTCAGCGAAAATGCGGACTCAAATTTCAATCCAAGATGGCCGCCTTCTGGTTTGTCAGGGGGCGTGGCCATAATAATGTTTTTTGTTTGTCTTCACATGACGAATGTGTGTATCGAATTTCGTGGCTTTACGACAAAGTTGACCGGGACCTCTCCCATAGGCACGAAATTTTTGCGTTTTCCAGGTGGCGCTGTGTCGCCATTTTTTTATGCCCGTGCACGAAACCTATATTTTATCGAATTTTTCACCACTTCTGAATATTGTGCCAAGTTTGGTGAGTTTTTGAACGTGTTTAGGGGGTCAAATTAGAGCTCAAAGAGCAGAAGCAGGGTTAAGCAGGGTTCCCACGATTATGGAAATCCTGGAAAAGTCAGGAAAATTGAAAATGTCATTTTTGAGGCCTGGAAAAGTCAGGGAATTTTGTAAATTAATTAATTTTTGTAAAAGTCTGATCAATTCTACAAACGTAGGGTGTTGTAAAGTTGTGGAAAATTCACTTTAGGTCATGGAAAAGTTTTGAAATTTTATAAGTTAAAAAGAGTGCGAACCCTGATCAAGTCATTTGAAGGCATTTTAAGAGGAAAAGCATATTCACAATTTTGTCAGACTCCACAAAATATTGCAATAAATATCTGTGAGAGGCATATCATGAAAATATCGTACCATGAGATTTGGATATTGTTACATCCCTAGTCACCAGTGAATCTCCCTGTTTTCAAATGGGCGTGATCGCCACGTGTGATCCATCCATATCAAAATAATTATGAATGCTATCAGAGGAAAAACGCATTACTAAATCATAATTTATAACCTTATAATTCTACCTGATATCTGACTACCTGATAACAAGTAATTACAAGCCAAGGTTCAGTACTTAATAGTTTCCTGGAGTCGAACATTAGTACAGTGTATTAACAGGTTTATAATAGGATAATGAGTGCAGAATACAGTTACGTATGTGTATCCATGTAGGCTTGCCTTCCACAGCTCTTACCTGGATGTTGTGGGTCACCTGCTTGTTTCCATGAAGATTAAGACTGTGCAATTAATCAAATTTTGATTGCAATTTCAATTTGTATCAGTCGATCTCTAAACTCATATAATCGAGTTGAAACGATTCAGCTTAAAGTTTATTTTGGGATATTTTCTATATAAATAAGTGTTTTTTTGTTGTTGTTTTTTTTAATATAGAGATTGTAGAACAGCTGGATATATAGTTTATTTTGGACACATTTATGTTTTTCTATGCCTTATTTCATGTTCAAAGTATATTTTATTCATTTTTATGTTTTATGCATCGCAAAACTGTGCTAAGGTACATATTTGTAGCCTGAATTTATTTTCAATTTAAAAGTTTTAAATTATTTATAACAAAGTGTTTTTTTAGAGAGAGAAATGCTGAATAAATGCATTGTGTAACTAAAAAATAATCGTTTGAATAATCATGATTTTAATATTGACCACAATATTTGCGATAATGATTTTTTCCATAATCGAGCAGGCCTAATGAAGCTAGATACGTTTAATGCTATACTGTGGAAAATCCCAGGCAAAGCAATGGCATCTCCATGGAGACAAACAAGTGGCAGACCAGAAAAGTCACATACACTTAAATATTAAATCACATGTTTACTATTGTGTCTTGCAGCTCCCATCTCAGAGAACCACGAGTCCCTGATGAAAGATGGCGGCGCTGGGGTCGTTGCTAAGGGCGACAGCATCATCACCACGGTAACGACGGAGAAGGAGGAGGAGCGGTCCGAGCAGGAAGAACAGGTCCCGACCGAGGCCCAGACCACCGAGGCCCAGAGCACAGAGGCAGTGACTGTCAGGCCCGATACTAAGGTAAAGGAAACAGGACAGGTGGAGAGTTCAGATGGGAGTATGACTTTGTTTTATTTTTCACATAATTAAACTAAACTATGGTGTTATTGCAATATAAGTCAAATGGTGTGTACTATTCTTTAAACTGATTTAAGGGAAATTATGAGTTAGTGTATTAAATGTATTAAGACCAAACCTGTATTAACAATATATTTCTACTATCCACCATTGAACACACACATCAGAATATTAACGTTGTAACTTGTTTATCTTGTATTACGTTTTCTTTAGCAACAAGATAATACAGTAATTGGTATTGATACTTTGCAGCTGATGTCGTCAACATTCCCGGGGGGTCTGATGCTAACTGGAGGCACTGCTCTGTCTGAAGCTCTGTTACTCAAATTAAACTTTAATCTGAGCTTTGTTTTAACACAATCTGATCATAAAGAGCTGATTTAGGATACGTTTATATGACGACGGTCTGAAGAGAAGATGCAAAAGTGGCGTCGCGTCTTCACTTTTTATTACGTGTTTAGACGAGCGTTTTCGGGAGTAAATCTGCGTGCATACGGTGACGCAAAAGTGTGTTGAATTCTATTGTGTATGTGGCTCGGTGGTGACGCTAAGTGGTGATGTATGTGACGTAAACACATACGTGACGTGAGCAGATCTGACCAGAGTTTTGCGTCTTGGGCAGTGTAGACAGAAACGCTACGGCGGAGCGTATTCAACTTTTTCACTCTGGAGGGTGGTTTCAAATTTTTGCGTTTTTAAGTCCCAAAAACACCGTCACCGTCTAAACTGAAGGCACTTCCGATAAAATAATTTGTTATTTTTAACCACTTAGTTGGAACTACAACAAGTGAGCTGATTTGTGTTGTCTCTTACACATAAAATTATAGTCATAAACTAGTTAGTCAGTCAATTATTTTGTTGAAAATCAAACTCCTAAACAGAACCATGAGCACTCGTATTGATCACATGGTCCTGAAAATGCGTTGTATTTTGTATCTTTTCAGAGCAGAGATTTCTTAAAACTCATTTGGCAGTGTTTGCTAATGTGTGCGTTCTAAACATTTCACCATACACATACATGTATAACACCCCCAGCGTAATATCACTGCAAAGTATCAACTGCACCTGTATAGTTATAGGTTTGGATTTTGGGTTAGGGTTGGCACTGTTTTTACTTTAAACTGGTACTTCCATTACGACTACACTGCAAATTGCTCTAATCTGGCCAAGATTTTAAAACTTATATCAGGTTATTCATCTTGTTTTATTATCTACTTACTAGACCAGAAACTGCTTATTTCTAATCTAGAGATAGTTTATTTTAAGATAACTTGTCAAGTAAAATTATCTTGCTGCATGGACAGATAATTTCACTACTTTTAAGTCATTTTCTGATAGATTTAAGTGTTTATATCTTAAATTTTGGCCAAGCTTTTTTGCAGGGAACTTAAACTTCCATAATTTTTAGTGCTCATTGTAAATTATAAACTGTATTGTACAAGCTTCTACTATTATATTTCCATTCATATTTAAGTTCCGATGTCTGATTTTCACTTCTGGCAGCAGCCGCACAGTTGCTTTGAGCTTAACCCACTGCAGTAGAACTCAAGCTTTCACTTTCTATGCGCTTGACTAATTTTACTTTTCTGTTTTGTCCCTCCTGACTCCCCCTACACACCACCACACTCATAACTGCACCCATGCCACTTCTTCCCATTCATCTACCGTTACCACAAACGCATCGCAGTGCTCCTCGCATCTGTACAACGAACTCTCCCTCCCCTCCTCCCCGGTCATTTCCAACAAACTCCGCCGCCGCCGTAGAGACGCTGCAAGAAAACGCGCATCGTCCGTGAGCCCGGTTAAAAACGGCGAGAGTTGCAAGCGTAGGCAAGCTAAAGCCGACCGGAAAGCCGCGTTATTGGAGGAGCAGGCGCTTTTGCTGTCCGCACGTAAGCAACGCCTCGAATCGAAATCGCGAGGAGGGACGCTGTTCTCTTTCTCCTTACACCTCCCTGATCTGTCCTCCATTCTGGACGAAGACGGATACCTGACGTTCCCGGATTTGTCGGAGATGCGCTTCTTGCCGGAGTGCGCCCAGAATTTCATGGCCATCAAATCGCCATCGCTCATCCCCTGCTTTCTCTTCATCTTTTTCTTCCTCCTCTCCACCTCTTTCTCCGTCCCATACGCCCTCACTCTCTCCTTCCCGCTGGCGCTGTGTCTTTGCTACCTGGAGCCCAAAGCAGCGTCCCTGACCGCCTCCATAGCACAGGGCTACACTGACCATGACAGTTCAGACGAAGAGGAGGTGTGTGTTCATATGTGCCTCATGTTAAAGCTGCACTATGGGACTTTTTTTGGAAGCCGGTCCTTCAGCTGCTTGTCTAAGTGAAGATGTTATTGCTTTGCCTGCAGGATAATCCGCACTATGGCGTTAAATTAAACTATCTTCCAATTATCGAATTCATTATTTTGGTTTCTTGTTTATGTGTGATAAACTATGACAGATATTAAAGAGGGGGTATTATGAAAATCAACTTTTTGGAATTTTCTGCCATCTTATAATGTTTTTCTATGGAAGATAATTTGTTTAATCAGATTTTGAATTTTAAATGCCACTGAATTTCTCACTTTTAATTTTTTAACTCTTAAGTATTCATGTTCAAAGTGTGTAAAATTCAGTATAAAAAATCACCTTTTAAATTTCAAGCCCTCAAATTCAACAGTCAAAATTCAGAGTGTAAAATTTAGAGTGTAAAATTCGCAATGAAAAATTTCTCAGTAAAGATCCAAGATGCCAAGGCAGAAGCAATCGATCCTCCTCACTCACACAGGATCGATTGCTTTTGCCTAGACATCTTGGATCTTTACTGCAAACATTTTCACTGCAAATTTTACACTCTGAATTTTGACAGAATTTTTTGGCGATGAATATTTAAAAGGTGAATTTTTATTTTATTCAAACATCTTTTTCCACAGTCAAAATATTCAAAATGAGAAATTCGGTGGTATTTAAAATTCCAAATCTAATGGAACAAATTATCTTACGATTACCTCATCAAAAACATGTCTGAAGAGGTTTTAGGTGTCATACACACATGTTTGGGTAATCAAGCATGATATAAAAAACCGTGCTGAATCTAAACTATGTAGAGCAGATGGAGATGGTGTTTGGTGTGCAACTGCATCTCTTCAAAACTGAGGCAGAGAGTGAAACAGAAAGACATTGAGACAGGGAGAGTCAAACCAAATACCTTCTTGCTAAAGTGTGAGTGCTACCCGAAGAATGGAAAAGTCGAGCAGACGTTAAAAACACAGAAAACCATCCTTTCAGCGGCATGTTTTTCTGAGCTTCGTAATTAATTAACATGAGAAATTTGACATGTATAACTTTGCAATAACAGCTATATCAGATTAGGTAACTGAAATGAAGTCTTGTTCGTGTGAATATAGAGATATACTCTGTGTGATCTATACCACAACTTCACAAACCTGAGTCGATGTGCTGTAGTTTGATTAGCATAATGCACAGGGATGTGTAATGTGAAGGGCTCTGATGGGAGACTGACTTAGCACAGAGAGCAAAGGGAGGAGGGACTCAAAAACAAAAATGGAAATGAGCTGTTAATACCCCACAGAAGTGTAATGTCCCCTCTTTAATTCATCATAATTTACAAGCGTTTCTATTCAAAAATACCATGAGCCTGTCCACAGATTTGACGTGTGACTTGACTCTCCATGAAAAAAAGTTTAATGCCATACTGTGGAACATTACAAGCAAAAGATAGGAAAGACTTCAAAGGCAGTCATCTGTTTTTGGACACAGTTTTGACTCATCTAGAAGTGATTTCAAAGCACAGGGTACAATCCAGGCAAAACAACAAAATCTCCACGGAGACAAGCCGCCGACCGCGATCACCCAGAAGTAAAGTTCCATAGTACACCTTTAAATGATAATATTAACCCAAACATTGTCCCGTTGTGTCCGGGGGGCTTAAGTCTGTCCTGTGAGCCCGTCTACTTTCAGAACCTCATCTCTGTTCAGCTCATCACCAAAACACATCCTCACTGCACAATGAATGACGCACTGGCAAGTCGTACCATTACACATCACATTTCATGTGGCATATTTGAATGGCCTTGGTGGAAAAAAAAAGGGGGGTTAGCCACAAACATGACAGCTTGCACGTGTCACAGCCTGATGTCAGTCCAAAACAAACTGCTTTTCTGTATATTTTGAGGTCCTTTATTACGCAAAATTGACTCTTGTGAGCTTTAAGTCCTGTTAGAATGTTGTTACCTCATGAAAAACAGACCTGGAGTTGAGTTTTGTTTCATTCACATGTTTGAGTAACACTTTATTATTATTTTGTCTTCATCTCCAAAGCTCAAAGTGCTCTGTTCCACCTTGCGATGTCACGAAGCTGTAGTTTTCAAGTTAACTGCTACATTTTACTAGCCAGGCTGGCGCCACCTAGTGCCACCACTCAATTTCATTTCTCTCCAGCGACTAGGTCAGGAATCGAATACACTAGACAGTTTGCAAGAACCCCGGAAGTTGTAGACCGCGGATCGACCAGTCAGCGATGAGCTGTGAAGCCATGACTGGGTCCCTTTTGTGGTACAGCATAACAGTAAACAAAGTGTTGAGATGGATGTAGACGAAGACAGACATTCTGTGTTGGCAACGATTCCTGAGATCGAGGATTTAAAGCCTGAACAAAGAGAACGTTTGGTGAATTTTATCAAGGGGAAAGACGTTATTGCCCTTCTTCCTATGGGATTTGGGAAACGCTTGATATAGCGGTTAGTTACATACGTCACGACCAAATAGCAGTGATTGCTTAAATAAAAAAAGTATCCGCCTACCGTTGAGCGGATGAATCCTAATGCTGCGGAGGTCAGACTGTTTCCACAAAGTGAAACTGGCTGATGAACTGGCTGATGAATCCCTGGGTGTCTGGGTGCATTTTTTGTCTGGGCACTCCGGTTTCACCCAT